GAGAGAGAGAGAGAGAGACATCTTTACAAGGGAGGTTGTAATTGCTGGCACTTCTTACAGTGAAGGTTTATTTGTAGGTGGTATTTCAGACATGACCTGAGCTCAGCTTGCCAGTTGGTACCCAGAGATAACACCTTCCCTCCCCGTGAGATAAACAGCTGGGCTCTCTCACTGGCCAACTAATCTGGCATTGGAAAGAACATTTTGCTGGCAGTTGAAAGTCTGGGTTAGGGAGATGAGATGAACTGGGAATGGTACAACCTCTATGCGGGAAGAGCTTGGCAGCCCTCTCATAGCATTCCACAAACACAGGTATCCAAAACTCTCCATGCAGTGCTCAGTGTGCTGGGGCAAGGGGTGCAGGGTCCTCTGCCCTCTCAAGACTCTCCACACATGAGCACCAGGATCTCTCTGTGAAGAGATTACTGGTGTATTTCCCCATTGGCAATACTCTCAATGTAATATATGCCATCGTGTGCCAGCAATGCCCCTCTGCCATGTACATTGACCAAACCGGATAGTCTCTACGCAAAAGAATAAATGCACACAAATCAGACATCAAGAATTGTAACATTCAAAAACCAGTAGGAGAGCACTTCAATCTCCCTGGACACTCAATAACAGACTTAAAAGTGGTCATTCTTCACCAAAAAACCTTCAAAAACAGACTTCGATGAGAAACTGCAGAACTGGAATTAATTTGCAAACTTGACACCATCAAATTAGGTCTGAATAAAGACTGGGAGTGGCTGGGTCTCTACAAAAAATAATTTTCCCTCTGTTGATACTCACACCTTCTTGTCAACTGTTGGGAATGGGCCACATTCACCCTAATTGAATTAGCTTCGTTAGCACTGACCCCCCCACTTGGTAAGGCAACTCCCATCTTTTCATGTGCTGTATATTTATACCTGCCTACTTTTTTTCATTCCATGCATCTGATGAAGTGAGTTATAGCCCATGAAAGTTTATGCCCAAATAAATGTGTTAGTCTCTAAGGTGCCATAAAGACTCCTCGTTGTTTTTGCTGATACAGACTAACACGACTACCCCTTTTAAATCTTTCCTAGCACTCTGCACACATGGGCACCAATATTCTTAAGCACAGCCTTCTTACAGTCCCTTAAAGGTATTCTGGCTGTATGGACACCAGTGTCTCAGCAGGCAACAGTCAGTGACCCAACCTCCATTGCCTTCAGTCACCTTGGGGTGCTCTGCGGACATTGGTACCAAGGCTTCACTGTGCAATGGCCAGTGCGACAGTCCATATTAGGTTGGGTCAGAAGGCAAGACTCTAAGGTCATCAGGACTGGAGAGAGAGGGAACCATGTCCCTGCAGATTTGAGGCTTGAGTCTCTTCTCCTACTGCTGTGACTCCACTAACTGCAGTAGCTTTGTTCCAGATTTACATCAGGATAAGTGACAAGAGAATCATGATCCTGGAGTTCATGACCAAGGGGGTACTTGGCCCCTGAGACCAAGCAGGTTGGAGTGGACGGGGAGATAGGTCCCTGAAGCTGTGGGAGATAAGGAGGCAGAACTGTGGAGGCTGGGGTGGGTAGATATGCATTGGGAAGTAAGGTGGGGAGGGACTGTGATAAGGGATAGCAGATGTTCCATCTCCAGAGGACACTCCAGTATTTGGACTATAGGAGGCCAGCCCCAAAGCTCTAACCTACTCTTCTATTCTCCCATGGCAGGTGTTAAGGTAAAAAGAGAAACGGCCAATGCCTTTGTGAGGAGGCAGAAGAGGTCCTACCCCTATTATGAAAGGTAAAATCTTCCCTGCTTCACCAGTTGGGCTCAGGACTGAACTCTGTACTGATTATTTCAGAGGGGGATAGGAAGGCAGTGGGATGTGGCAAGGAATTTGATTAATGTCTGGGATAACATCCTCACACACAGAAGTAGATAAAAGAGGATGCCGGAGATACTTACTGGAGACAAGTGGCCTGTTCTTCCTTAAAGGGCCATAAATATCCCCTGAGGAGTCTTTGACAGACATAGAGTGACCATAGTCAGCTTTACATCACCTCCTGTAAGAGCCCCCAGCACAGGGGCATGCCAGATGCATTGCTGGGAGTATTTCAGGAAGGGGGGTACTTGGCCAGCATTCCTAGGTTGCTGGTACTTCTGGCTACTTGAACTGCCCTTAGGGGCCAGGGAGAGTGGGGTGCAAGTTAGAGGCTGCGCTAGCCTGCACCAGGGACCGAAGCAACCCGCTGCACAGGGTACAGTGAGGAGGTTTCATCTTTGCCTTCAGTTCCTGCACTGAGCTCAGCTCTGCAGCAGGGATGAGGTCAGATCAGACAGGCTCTTCATTCTGACTATGCCCAGACACTTACAGCAAGCAGAACTTTTTTTACAACACTCCTGGAGACAGGGACTCAGAGAACTTCAGCTGACAGATTGACACAAGAACATGCTTCACATACCTCCTGGGAGAGGTCACCAAGCTGCATCTCACAGAGGCCCTGAGGGATAAGACATTTCTAGTTGAGCATCCTTGGACAGTAGTTAAAGGCCTGGGTTTAATCCCCAGTTAGTAAAGCTTCTGAAAGGATAACTAAGGTTCCTGGGTAAAGTCCCAGCTGATAGACCTGACCCACTCCCCAGGAACAATAACCAGGGAGCCTGGGTTCTATCTTTAGCTGTTAGAGCCTTGTGAATGAGATGGGGAACTGGCTTCAATCCCTAACTGATAGAGCTCCCTCCCACCCCTGGACATTAATCAAAGGGGCTAGGTTCTAACCCTTTGTAGGTAAATATTGTATTCACTATAAGGGAGTCCATCTCTAGGGAATGCTGGTAATCACTCTCCCTGAGTTCAGCAGGTGGCATAGGAGCCTGATGAGTCATGAGTGGCATCTTTCTCTTTGTCTACTGCAGGTACTATGAAATGTACAAGTCCCCAATGGAGCTGAGGAAGGAACAGTGTGAAAACTACGCCCCCTGTGACTACCTGTCCGATCACGTGGGGTTTCATGCTGCATATCAGCGTTACTTTGGAAGATTCTGAGGAAGAGACTGTCCCTTCCCTCACCTGGCGAGGGTCCAGTCTGTCCTCCATAAAGACTGGGGTAGTATGAGGAAGGGAAGGAAGGAAAAGGGAGAGGTAGATTGGGCCCACTTCAATTCTGCTCAGCACTGATGAGAGCACAATGGCAAAATTTACCCCATGTATCCATTTTCCAGTCCAAGACAGCTGAACACTAGTTGTGATCCTTCTACCAGAGGCATTCCCACCTGTGGCCTCCCATAGTATTTTGAGTTTCTTCAGAGAAAGGAAGGTGAGGAGAATCCGTCTTATCTGCTTGCCATGGAAGTTCCAGAGCAAGTATAGGAAGAAGAGATTCTTCTGAAGAAACTCAAAATATGACAAAGGGAGGCAGCAAGATCTTTTGTGCTCCCTCCCCTCCCAAAAAAGTACTAGGTGAGGGGTGACTAATATGAGAAATGCAACAGTGTGTGTGTGTGTGTGTGTGTG